AGACACTGACCTTGTGTTCACAAGATAAAGACCATGGGGCCCAGAGTGACGTGGAACTTGCCCAAATACACCTCATTAACATTTATCAAAACCAAGATGTAAAATGTCTCTGATTCCAGATTGCAACACTAGTCACCATGTCATGAGGTTTACAGTAGAGGTCAGCAAACCTTGGCTTGCAGGCCACATCCAGCCCACGGTCCATTTCTACACAGTCCACACACAAGATGATTGAATAAAGAATGATCAAAAGGTTGGCGAAAGATTTTAATCTCATGACATAAGAAAATCAAATTCAAAACCCAGTGTTCATAAAGCTCTGCTGGACACAGCCACCCTCGCTGGTGGACCTCTCAATGGCTTTCCTACCACCAGGGCTGCAGGAGTGGTTTCCACAGACACCCCCATCTCCCTCAGGCCAGAAATCCCTGCTCTAACCTCCATGTGTGCAAAAGTACCTCTAAAGGGAAGAAAAAGTCTGGCTTTAAGAGTGACGATGGAAGGAGTGGAAACTTCCTTCCAACCTTCAAGGAACAAACACTTTCTCTGTTCCATCAAGTATGCCAAGGCCTAGAAAACAGTGGAGGGCTTCCCAGTTCGTCTTAATTAACTGGTTCACAGAGGTTTACAGTCCTGGAGCTGTTTTAATTGGAAAGAGCTCTGCACAATGGAGAAGACAACAGCTGACAGTTCCGAGCCTTCCCGGTGCTGCCAGGTGCTGTGCTGAGGAACAGATTTCCAGCTAAGCCTCCTGACAACCGGGAAGGTAGGGTGCCACTATGACCCAACTCTGCTGTGAAGCTGGGACCGCAGGACATTAAGCAAACTGCCCAAAGACCTACAGTCTGCAAGAGTCTAGCCTAGTTTCTGCTTCCAGAGACTACATTCTTAACACCACATCGTGTAATTCTAATAAGTCCGCAAATATTAAGGAAATGCATAATTTCTTGAAAAAAGTATCAAAACTATCAAAATAATCTTGGTGGGGAATACGTATTTCCCACCATATCCCACTGAGCAAAATAATTATGTACCACAAATTGATCTGGATCATAAAAACGGGCTTCTCATAAATTATAATGCTGCAGCCCAGTGGGCTGGACTCTCTCTCATCTATTTTAACCCTTCTCCCCAAATAATAACCTAGCAAGTCGGACAACCCTCATTCTGAGCTGGACTAGCATCAGACCCTCCTCATAACACTTTCCAGGCAGCAACTCATTTAACACAGAGGCAGGAGCTCCTCGCACGCACAAGGAGCACCAGAGAGGCCAAGCGCCTGTGCAAAGCCACACAGCTAGCAAAGGAGAGGCTCCACAGCCCAGCCTGGCACTCACCCAACTCAATATCCCAACAGACTCCCCTAATAAATCTGAAAACTGATTAAACCAACTCGATCCGGAGAAAACCAACTGGCACCACGGCCAGCTCCAGGGGGGGGGGGGCGCAGCACACCTGGTGTCCAAGCAGTCCACAGCCTTCCCCAGGGCCCTGCACCGCCCCAGGAAGCCCCTTAGCCACGTGCTGAGGGCGGCGGGCCTGGAAGGGAAGCTCGGAGTTAAGACTCAGCTTTCAGGAACCAGCAGATCCGCGGAGACTCAGGGCCGCGCCCGCGGAGGGCTGGAGGGCGCGTGGGCGGCCAGGCGCGGCCCACTCCGGCTCTGGGCAGCCCGTGGCCCACGAGGACTCAAGGACCGCCCTGGCCGGGCCCTCCCTCCAGCCCGCGCCCTGGGCTCGCGCCAGGCCTCGGCCAGCCCAGGCCGCCCCGCGGACGGCAGCCTCGGCCCACCGACGCTCAGGGCCCACCGCGGTCTGACTGGGAACCCAAGGCCTTCCAGGTGGCACCCAGAGCACGCGCCTGCGCCGCGCCTGCGCACGGAGTGGGAGCACGTCTGCGCCTGCGCCGGGCCCGGAGCACGTGGCGGCCAGGCCGCGCGGCGCCGAGGCCTTTCCGGACGAGTGCGGCCCTGGAATCGCTCGGTGGTGTTTTCGGCAGACCCTTCCTAGCCTGGCGGGGGCGGCCTGCACCCGGGGCCCGGGAAGAGCCGTTTCCCTCCCCGAGGGCCCAGTGCGAGAAGGGTGCAGCCCGATGGAGCAGGAAGGGTGCGGGGACGCCCCGTTGCTGGGCCGTCGGAGGGCCGCCCTGGCCTTGCCGGTTGGCTCCAGCGGGAGCGTAGCCGTTGAGTCCTACCGACGGTCCCTGTCGGACACCCGGGAAGGGCCCCTGGGGCAGGAATAAGGACCCGCGAGCCGGGATTGACCAGGTCGCCCACGGTACTCATGGAGTCGGCCTGGGCTGCCGGTGGTGGCTCTTATCTCACACTGTCGTGAGGTCACCCCTGAGAGCTCCCCGGGTCCCTGATTCCGAGCGAGCTCTGCCTCCAGAGCTGGACATTTCCCCTCCCTGCCCCTCCCCCAGCCTCCTGCCCCTCCCCCGCTCCAGCTGCAGTCTCCATGGTAACAGGAGCCTGAGGCCGAGGCTAAGCCTGAGAGCCCTGCCTGGAACCAGCCAGAACCTTCCAGGCCTTTCCGGAGACCTAGCTCGGCCGGGGCCGGGCACCGGGGCATCCCTGAGGTCTCCTGCTCCGCCGTCAGGGCCTTACCAGGGCTATGCGAGACTCTGGATAGGTGGTCTGTAAAATGACGGAAGGCTGGTTATGTGAACCTCGCAGTGCCATTACCTTGTGTTTCCTTATCAATAAGTAGCTTACTCTATCATTTAGCCAGTAATAAAGAGGGGATTGTGTCAGACGGTGCTAGATCCTGAGGAAGTATGCTATTGCCATCAAAACATACATGGTCCCTGTCCCACCAGTCCTTGGAGTGCAGCAGCAGAGAGAGAGACTTTTTTATTCGTTCTCGGGTGTACTCTGAGGAGCCATTATACCTGATAGATACATGAGGGTCTGGGCGTCAGAGAAGTGAATTAAAACAATAAAACCCTGTGCCACGTGGAGATGAGCCTGGTGGGACTGGTGCCGGACATTAAATAGATAATCACAGAAACAACAAATACTTGCTGAGCAACTGCTGTAGGGCCAGATGCTGTTTTAGGCAAGGGCCATAGTAGTGAACAAAACAGATGAGGATGTTCTCATGGAACTTGACGTTTTGGTGGAAAGAGGGAGAAAGTATAAATGAACTTGAATATTAATAAACTCAAACTAACTTAAATAAAAAGAATTTATTGGCCAAGGTGAATGAAAACACCAGAGGTAGAGTTGGCTGCCTTAATGTTCATAAACATGATTTGTGTTATGGCGGACCTCTGTAGTTTTTCTACCCAACACCCCTTCCCCATGCTTTTTTACCAAGAAGCCATACTTCCCGTGGGGAACTGGTGAGGCCTGACACGCCACTCTGTTGCCGTGTCCAGGTCATCGGTTCAGGCCCGGTATGTGACTCCAGATGGGCCAGTCAGAAACTTACCTGGGTCCTTGCTTGGGAGCTGTGAGTAATGACATTCTCTTTGCTGGGATGTAGGCTGGTCCACAGCATGCCTGGCTGATACTCATCTTTTCTGCCCTCTGGGGAGTAGAGCAAAGCAATTACAGCCCCCTCCTCCGGTCTCTTTGATGCTTAGATTAGATACCATACATAATGTTCTTAGTGCATAGTAAATTCTCAGTAAAGATTAGCCAGCATAGTTCCTGGCTTACAAAGGGGCAAATGAGGGGAAATCTCTGTGGGGACTGTAAGACTGTGCGTTTGTTAACTTCTTCAGAACAGAGTTAAGTCGGCAGATTTCTGGGAGAAACCTCTTGTAGATGAGAATAAGCAGAGGTGTGTGGAGTGGAGGAGCTCTTCCGCTGGGCCATGATGCAGTTTAAAAGCCAAACATGCTTCTCTGAAGGTAGAGTGCTCAGAGAAGGTTCCTGGTGGATGATCCCAGTAATTAAGGACCTCACACTCAACAGATAACAGAGAAGCCAAGAGCTGGGAACAGTAGAGGTTCTCCAAGATTCTGTGACTTCTTGCGAGTCACAAGGAGGGGGCAAGTCTCCTTGGTATGTTCACTTACACGAGAGATTTATTTGAACACAGATAAAATGCCAGGCATGTGCTCAGTGTGAAAGAATGTGTTGAACTTGTGAGTGGAACTTGTGAGTGCAGCACCAGTAGACTTTCAGGAGAACACCAGGTAGGCTTTAGAGACCCTCCTGTTTCTGTTGTCCCTGGGCAATGCTGCCAAACTGCAGAATCTGCCCTGGTGGACATATTCGTGAATGAATGTGGCCGTGTTCCACTTTATTTAGGGACATTGAAATTTGAATTTCTTATTTTCTTTACCTGTCACAAAATATTATTTTCTTTCAACCATTTTAAAATATTAAAACCATTCTTAGCTCATGGGCCACACAAGACCAGGCAACTGGATTTGAGCACAGCCATAGTTTGCCAATTCAAAACCTCCTGGAAATCAGGTAAGCAATCAGCTAACTGCATTGCTGTAGATTCTTTTGCCTTTCTGGATTCTCCACTCATAAAGCACATATTCTTTCTGGGTGGAGGAATGAGTGGATAGATAACTGTGATGTCATCCAAGTCTCTGGAACCTGTAGATGCAGTTTTATTTAGAAAAGGGGTCTTCACCCATGTAATTAAGGATCTTGAGTGAGGTCACCATGGATCACCTTGGTGGGCCCAAATCCAATGGTAAGTGTCCTTGTAAGAATGAGGTGATGGTAATGTATTATATACTTGAGATTGGCTAAGGAGAAGATCTCTCATGTTCTCATCACCCACACTCTCAAATTAAGTGGTGCACATGCTAATTAGCTTGATTGTGGTAATTGTCTCAACACTGTATGTGTATATCAAAGCATCATGTTGTATTCTCAAAATACTTAAAATTTTTGTTTGTCAATCATACTTAATTAAATAAAGCTGAAAAAAGTCTTTATGATTGTGTGAAAAACCTGGGATATTGTGTTCTCAGCTGTTCCAATAACAGATTCGCATAGCCTTTCCGTCATTTTTCGTTGTTTTCTACTTCACAGAATTGTGGCTTTTATACCCAGAAGAACAGGGAGAGAGGGAGCCTGATCAGCCAGGCAGAGGAGGTGCAGTGTGGAGTGGAGGCAGGATCGCCGTCGATGGGCATCCCTGTGGGGCAGGCAGGAGCTCATCCACCTGGACGAGGCAGTGATTCTGACCCTGCGTGGGCTCCAGAGGCCCCTGTCTGCCAGTGCTGTGGGGGCCGTGGGATGCTAACGCCTGGTTCCAGGTGAGAGGCCTGCAGCCCAGGGAGCTCAGCGTTCACTAACAAAGAGAGAATGTCAGGACAGGCCCAGGGACACCGTGAAGGAGCTTCAGTTCGCACTTCCTGCCTCTGCACCTTCTCGCCTGGCGCCAGGGCCTGCAGTCCACGTGATGCGCCCTCCCAGAGTGGGGCACCCCTGGCGCTACCTCTTCTAGAACTCCTCTGCCCAGAGAGACACCTCCTCTGGGATCCTGGCATGCGGGTGACTCATGGCCCACATGTATTTAGCTGTGTTTTCCTCTCAGGGGGCCAAGGCAGAATCACGGGCTCCGTCCTGGTCAGTGTCCTCTCCGCACCTGGCCCATCTTGTCAGTCACCAGCCCAACCAATCCTGCCTCCTAAAATAGCTGCTTCATCAGACCTAACCTCGTGGTTCCCAGCGTGACGATGGCCCCGAGGCCCTCAGCTTGGATCCCTGCCGCCGAATCCCGTCCCCTTGCGGTTTACCCTTCAGCCCGTCCTCATGTCTTTCCTGAAGTGAAAACCTGTCCAGCCCCTCCACATCACCTCTGGGGTTCCTTTGCTGGGGACCCAGCTCCTCACGAAGGCTTACACTGAGCAGGGTCTGTTGCAAAGTATGCAGTGGGCAGTAGTGGTGGCCTTCCCGTTCCAAGCCAGGACTGTGGGCCCTGGGGGAGGGTCTGTCCTCATCATCTCCTCAAACCCCTGCGTCTCCCGTGCCGCCTCCTTCCCTGGAACTGAGCTTACTGCCTGCCACTGTGCGGACCTCCATGCTGATGAGCCCGCAGCCTGGGGGCTGTTCCTGATGCCGACCTGGCCCCTCTGTGTCCTCCATTCTCCTGCATCTCTTGGCCTCCCAGGCGGCTCCTGCTGATCTTCCTTTGCTGGTTCTTATTCCTCTGCTCTGGTGTCAACACCAACAGTGACTTATCCCCCATGTCACACCCAGAAATCCGACCTGTGGCATCAGGCCCAGGGCAGTTGATAGTCCTAAGAATCAGTGGAGTCAGCAGAAAATAAAGGAGATTAAAATATGCATAAGATGCCACCTGGAGGGGGCAGGGAGGAGGTGGTCCTAGTTCAGTGGCTGCAAGGTGCCCGTCAGGGTGGGCTCAGATCTGCCTCATGGGCACCGGCTGGTCCTCGCAGGTCTGTGGGCCCCTGTTCTCCATCAGCTCCTGTCCCAGGCACCAAGGCTGAGGTGAGCAGCCACAGGAGGTCAGATCCCTTCTTAAAACAGAACCTGAGGTGTGCACAGCCTCTGCCCGGCCTTCTCCAGGCAAGGAGGCACTGATGGGAGGACGTCCAGGTACACGGGGCCCACAGGCTCACGGGGCCACAATCATTAGAGAGTTGAGAATAGGAAAGGCCCCATGAGCTCAGAAAAAGATGGCTTGGCTCGCGGCCAGGAAAGCCAGTCGCTATCAGCACTGGTTTCAAACCCGCCCAACTGATGGATGACGGCTCGCCTCAAGGAACACGCTTCTGCAAGCCAAAGCCCCTCGCTTGGCAGCGCGGAGCCCGTCAAGGATGGACTCGCTCTGATGAGCACGCCTCGGGGTGCCAACCAACCAACAAGGGCCTCACTTGAGAGCCCGCAGCCTTGCGGGTGACATCAGCCCTTTATGTCTCTGGAAGCCAGAGGACCTCACTCCATGCTGCCCCCAGGCCCTCTCTAAAGCCAGACCATTCTGCAGAGAGAGACAGCCTGATTAGCACGGCTCTCCCTCACTGGGGAGGAAACAAACGCAGCCTTGTGCTCTCCCTTCAGATGTGAGATACCCAGGATGTGTCCTTGTCCTCCTGTTATCACCCCTCAGGGCTGCGACCACCATGAAACATCCGTTCTCCTCCTCCAAAGATCCTTCGACATCAAGGGCACCCGCCCCGCCTCCACGGGTTTCCTTCTGTCTCTGGCTGCTTCTCCTCGGCCCCATGCTGGGTCTCAGGGTCTCGGGACTCACCCAGGAAGTGTCCTCCACCTTCTGTCTACACTCCCAGCCTTGGGGAGCTCATCTGCCCTTTTGGTTTCCAAGGTCATCTTCCTGTCAAGGGCTTTCCCATGTTTGTCCCAAAGGCTGGTCTCCTGTGCTGAAGTAAGAGGGACTGGGGACCCCCGGGCTCACTTCCTAACTCTTTCCACCGATGCCCTCTTACCTTGGCCTTTGAGGGTCTAACTGGCCTCCGGTGAGCCCAGTGCACAGAGCCACTGGCCTCCACCCCACCTCACACCCGCCTCGCTCCTCTAGCGCTGCCCCAAGGAGCTGGCTTGTGGGGCTGACCTGAATCCAGGGTCAGATTGAGGGCATCAGTTCCACTCTTGACACTTTTGAGGACAGTGTCAGAGCCTCACCAGGATGCGGGGCTGACAGGTCTCCTTTGTGGTGTTGTTTCGAGGTTCAGCATTTATGTGAGTGAGCCCGTGGGCGAGAAGGTGCGGCGTCTCGCACACATGGGTGCCAGCTGCTGTTCACCCTAGGTTGGCTGAACCCCCAGTGCCTGCTGCATTGATCAGACAAAAACTCAACAGGCCAGTGTCGCTCCTCGTCTCTCCCTTCCCCCAACCCAGCCCATTAGCAGGCCTCAGCTCAGCCTCCAGGTAGACTGGCGGTCAGCCCACTTCTCTCCCTCTCCTGGCCCGCCCTAGTCACACATCCTCTGTGACAGAGAATAACAGGCTCCTCATCTCCAGTTCTGCCTCTTCACACCCATTCTCTGCTTAGAAACACCTTTAAAGAGTCTGTCCCGTCACGCCAGCCCGCAGCTCACACTCCCGCAGGCAGCCGTCCCAGGTTTTAAGGATGTGAAATGCAAACCCCTCTCTTTTCTTGCGAGGGTCATGCTACAGCCCTCTCATTGATCGACTGCCTGAGGACACCTAGGATCCTCTTCCTGGAGCTCCTCACACTTGGGCTCTGGCACCTGGAGCCCTGCTGTGCACAACAGGCACTCAGTAAAGGACGGTGAGAGAGAGGTGTGCGTAGCTCAAAATCCCCTTAAGAATAGTCTTTTAAAAAAATATTTATTTATTTTAGTGGTAGTTGGACACAACACCTTTATTTCACTTATTTATTTTTTTATGTGGTGCTGAGGATGGAACCCAGGGTCTCGCAGGTGCAAGGCGAGTGCTCCACCTCTGAGCCACAACCCCAGCCCCAAGAATAGTCTTTACAGATGTATTCGCTTTAAGGAAAAGTGGGTGAAACTACAATGTATCGAAATGCAAGCTACGGTTATGTGTGACTAATTAGAACAAGTTTTTTTTGTTTTTTTTTTTAAATTGGGTGAAAAGACTCGCGATGTTTCCAGTTTGTCTCTGGGTATTCTGGTCTGCCTGTAGATGAGTTTTGTTTTTCTTTCCCTTTGATGCTCTTCTGTTATTTCTAAAGTCACCACAATGTATTTCCTTTATCATGAGAAGAATAAAATGCTCTTATTTAAAAGAGGACTAGGGATACAAGAGCCCAGAGGACTGTCTTTCAAAGCCAGAGCAACTGTGGAAGGGGCGGGGTCACCTGGGTCCTCCTGTCTCCCCCACCCCAGCTGTCCTCGATTCCAAGGACTTCTGCTGACTCAGATGATTAACATGCTCCTGTCCGCAGACACCCTGTGCCCACTCTGGGCAGCCCTGGGTGTGGAGCCCTGGAGGAGGCCCATCTGCTCCTTCTTCTGCCTTCCCTGCCCATTCAGTGTCCCTCCCAAGCCGCGTCATCGCCTGACTCCATCCGTGGAGTCAGGGCATTCCTGCGACCCGCTGCCCCCCAGCACAAGTGGGCAAGTGGATGAGCCCCTGGCTCCCAGGACCTCGGGCAGGGCGGTGGACATGCAGAGCGTTGCTGCCGGGTCTGACAAGTAATACAGAGCTACACCCCATGTCCCAGGCAGGGGCTCTGGGCTCTTCTGGCAGACAGTTAAGGGAGGCATGGAGGCTTCCCGGAAGCACCCACTGGCACTGTCTTGCAGCGTGGCACCTAAGGGGAAGGTGGGGCTTCGGTGCCCCAGGCCCCGCTTGGCAGGGGCTGGAGCCTCCTGCCCTTCAGTTTGCGGGGGAATGAACAGGACCCTGAGCCCACCTGAGCCTTCAGGGCCCTGGGAGGGCTGGGGCTGAATCAGGACTGTCTGGCTTTTCCCGGCAGTTGGAGACAAGGTTTGGGGGTGGCTGGGCTCAGAAGGGTCTGGGAGTAGAGTCTGGGTCTGCGTTCAGTGGCCCTTTCCTGAACGTGGAAACGTCACCAGGCCCACCCCTCCCTGCTGCTGGATATAAGACCTAGCTGGGCTCCACTCCCAGCAGGCGCCTGAACCTCTCCCAGGTCCCTCTGCACACTTGGGTGTGACATTCTGTTTTAGCAGGAACCCCATCCTGCATATCTGGGCCCTCCACCTCCAGGTGGTGTCTGACTCCCCTGCCACATCTGCAGCAAGATTCCTGCGAGGTCAGTTTGCAGAGAATCCCCTCCCCTGCTCCCTGTGAGCTTCCCCTCAGACCCACACCCCGCTCCCTCTGTCCATGTCCCTGTGTGGATGCCGTGTTGGTGGCTAGCCCCGTCTTCCACCATGCTCCCCACACCTAGGTCCTCACTGAAGTCCTCCTGACTAGATTTTTAGCAAAAGCACTGAATGGTGTTTTGACTTCAACCAGGTGGAAACAGTAATGCTTTCTTCCCCTTCCTTGCCTGGCCGCATTGCCCGACCTCCTGGTGGGGAAATCCTGCTCAGGCAGCCCCCCTGTGCTGGGGTGGGAGAGGAGGGTCAGGGTAACGAGCTTGCCTCCTGGCCCCCACCAGGGCCTCCAGCCGGCAGCTGGATTAAGGCCAAGAGGCTCCTGGCGTCCTTGAGTCTGGAGTGGCTGCCTGGGATGTCCCAGGGGAACTGAGGGGGCCAGAGGGCTGGAGGCTCCCAAATCAATCAGAGGTCTGAAGGTCACTGAGCCGTGACCTTCGAATCAGGATCCTTGTAACCCTGGAGGCACGCACCCTCCAAGGGGTGGGGGCAGATTGCTGAGCGGAGCCCGTTTCCCAGAGAGCTGCCCCTCGCAGACCTGGAGGACACACAGCCTGCCTCTCCCCATGTCCACCAGCACCGGCTCTGGGGCTGGAGAGACAGAGAGCATCAGAAGGCCCTGGCCACCTCCGAGCTGCATGCTCTGCAGCGCTGGACCCAGGAGGGAGCTGGAGGAGCCCACAGGGGCTCAGGACAAGGGTGTCAATCGTAGGAAAGTGTTGGAGATCACACAGCGTCTTCCATTTCCCTGCATGCTCACCCAGGCACGCAGGAGCCAGGCTTCTGTGGGCTCGGGCTGCAAGCTGGCTGTGCACGCGCTCCCTTCACTGCCAGTCGCGTCTCTAAGTCATTCCGACTAACACGACTCCCACTGGGCAGACTGAACTGGGTGGCAATCTACAGCGAGATGATCACGGATCATTATTTTATTTATTATCAGAAGACCCCTGCTAGCCCTGACGGGGGCTTGTGCATTCTGAGACGGACATCAGGTCACTGTGCTCCGAGGCTCTCACCCTGTGGTCAGCCCTGCACTGGTTCAGTGCTTCTTTTTGGATTTTGTGGGTGACTGCCTCACTGTGGATCCGTGGCCTGGCCTCTGTTCTCCCTCGCTCGCTTTCCCGACCACAGAAGGAGAGCCCTGGGCTCACGAAAATTGGGACCCCGTGGGTGCAGATCTCCTCTCAGTTGTTGAAAGTCCTCTCTACTTTTAGACCTGCCCCACCTGGTGTGACAGCAGCCAGCTGCCTGTGGCTATTTAAGTTTAGCATATTAAATACAGTGGACATCAAATTCTGAAGCCTCCCTAGCCACGCTCCGCCTCTCAAGTTCTGGTTGCGGTCATCTTGGACACTGCAGGTGCCAGGCACTTCCTTGCTGTGGGTGTCATTTGGGTGACACTAACTTAGGAAGAACTGTTTTCTTCTGTATTTTATTATTATTATTATTTGGTTCTTTTTAGACACACATGACAGTAGAGTGTGTTTTGACACATCACACATACATGGAGAACAGCTTCCCATTCTGTGGTTGTACGTGACGTGGAGTTTCACTGTCATGTGTTCATATATGGACACAGGAAGTTAAGTCCATTCTACCCTCTTTCCCATCCCCTGACCCTTCCCCTGGCTCTCCTCTGTCTAATCCAGTAAACTTGATTCTCCTCCCGCCACCCCCGCATCATTGTGAGTTAGCATCTGCATGTTAGAGAGAACATTCAGCCTTCGGGTTTTTGAGGTTGGCTTATTTCACTAGCATGAGTCTCCAGATCCACTCGTTTACTGGCAAATGCCATGATTTCATTCTTCTTTGTGGTTGAGTAGTATTCCATTGTGCATATGTACCACATATTCTTTACCCATTCATCTGTTGAAGGGCACCTAGGCTGGCTCCACAGTTTAGCTATTGTGAATTGTGCTGCTATAAACATCGATGTGGCTGTGTCCCTGTTAGGATGCTGATTTTAAGTCCTTTGGGTGTAGACAGAGGAGTGGAATAGCTGGGTCAAATGGTGGTTGCATTCCAAGTGTTCTAAGGAATCTCCTCACTGCTTTCCAGAGTGGTTGCACGAATTTGCAGTCCCACCAGCAGTGTATGCGTGTGCCTCCCCCTGCCCGCCACATCCTTGCCTGAATTTATTATCACTTGTGTTCTTGATGATTGCCATTCAGACTGCATTGAGACGGAATCTCGCAGTGATCTTAATTTGCATTTCTCCCTGTGCACCCATGCGGGACAGCACTGCGGGTGGCTCCCCTGCTTCCACTTGAGTGTGGAATTCAGCAGGGGGCCACTCTGACCTGGGAGTCCCTAACCCTGAGGTGCGGTTTTGTGTACGCTGCCTGGACGTCTTCCTTGACCTTACCCAGGTCCTGTGAGGCCGTGCTTGTCTACCGTTTCACAGGTGAGGACACAGAGGGTCAGGGGTGAGGCAGTTCAGCCACCTGCCATGCTGTGTCTCTGAGGTCAGTTGTGTCACATGGAGTTCTCAGCCGCGTGACGTTGCACAGTGGAGGTGGCCCTGTGTGAGTGGCCCCTCTAATGGCGGTGACGGGGGCATTGAAACCCATGTGTCCGGGCGTGTCTGAAGTGTGTCCCTGTGGGGGTGGTTCTGCTGGGTGGTCCTCCTGCTGGCAGAAGAGCAGCCCCCCTTGACCTTGCCCTGCGCCTCTCCGCCCGGCCGGCAGGAGGGTTTCAGTGGTGAGCTCCTCGCTCTGTGGAAGGGCAGGCCCAGCTGGTCCTGAAGGGCTGGGGTGACAGAAGCAGCTCAGACTAGTTTAGGCAAAGAGGGGATTTCTTGGCTCCTGTCACCAGATCCTGGGGAGTGGGGTGGCCGCCCTGGGGCGCGGGAAGGCAGCCAGCAGCTGCTGCTCCGCCACTTGAGTGTGCCTTGGCAGGCTGCTGTCACGCAAGGCTTGCCCGGGTCGCAACCCGCTGCTCCCAGCCATCCGTGGGCACAGGAGGCTCGCTGGCCCTGTCCCCAGAGAAGGGCTCCCGGCTGCTTGGCAGGGTCACCTGCTCACCTGTGGCTAGGCACACAGAACTCCGGGACGCCCATCTTTGTTGGGAATGTGGGTGGGAAAGAAGTGGTCCCTAAAATCAGGGGCACGGGGGGGGGGGTCCCCCAAGGAACAGGGAGGCGCACTGACCCAGCCAGGCAGCTCAGAGCCACCTTGGCCACCTTGCTTGTGGGTCTTGGGAACCTCCCTGGAGGAGGTAACCTCGGTGGCCTCAAAACTCAGCGGGAGGGCTGGGTGTGGCTCAGCGGCAGAGCACTGCCCCTCAGCAGGTGTCCTGTCCGTGTACAAGTGAAAACCCAGACAACTAGGAGGAGTGTGAGGAGAGGACAAGGCAGGCACCCTGCACTGAGGGCCGACGAGAGCGGCTTGTGCTGCCCCGCTGTGCAGGCCCTGGTGGGGCCGAGGCCAGGCACGTCGTCCCCAGAGCTGTGCTCTGTCTGCAGGCCTTGGGTCACTGTCCACCCGGCAGGACGTCTCGTTGCCCGATCCTCACTCTTTTTTTTTTTAAATTTTATTTTCTTATTCTAATTTGTTATATATGACAGCAGAATGCATTAAAATTGTAATTACACATAGAGAGCGTGTTTTTTAGATCTATCTCTGGTTCTTCTTTCACCAACAAAACCCCTTTGTCCTTTTGGAGACGCCCCCTCCCGCCCTCTGGGTCCATGGAGTGCATGTGGACTCTCCCCGGAGCCCGTGACCTCTGCCAGTCAGTAGGAGTCACCCTGAGGGGCTCGGAGACGAGACAGGTATCCAGTCTGGGTCCAAGGGCAGCTCTGAGCTGTGCCAGGTGCGTCAGGAATGTCTCCTGCGAGGAGACACAGGGTCTGCGGGTGGACAGCAATCCCCCTCCAGGGCTGGACGAGTGAGGTCCAGGGGTGTCTGAAGCCAGCTGCCTCTGGGATTTCAATTATGCGATCCAGTA